ATTTCCAACATTTGTTTTACATGACTTAGATTTTTTCTCCCATGCCTGGAGAACCATGTGAGAATGCCAACCCTTCTTTGAGCAGAAGAATGTCAGTTAATGGTGAGAAACTGGTGAAGAGGGAAAAAACCAGGGAATTAATTTTCCCATCCAATTATGACCTCCTCCGTCACCTGCAGTATGCAACCCATTTTCCTATACCTCTGGTAAGTTGTTTGCTCCATCGGTGTGCACCTTGAGTTTTATATAAGTTTTATTATAAGGTCATTAACCACTGACTGTCCGATTATCCCCTGCTTGTCCTTTTATCAGAGAATGTGAGTCACTGCACATGAATCCTAACTATGTTCCCAACTTGAATTTGAAAGATATTTGCTTATTGGTTTCCATATGTACTCTTTGGCTGTTGGCATTTTTGGTGTTACACAGCCGAGTAAGAATTTTGGGGCACAGGAAAAATGAATAGGGAGAGGGGCAAATGTTTATGAATGAGAAGCACTCATGCCAGTGAAGTGAATGAGGGAAAACCGCATGGCCCCTAGAAAGTGGGCTGTTTGGCATTTCTGGGTCCCTTCTAATTTCTAAGAGTGAATATTGGAAAGCAGGCCATGCCAGCCCAGAAGCTCCAACTTGATGGAAGAGGTTGTGAGTGAGATAGATTGGGGTTTGCACTTGGGATTTAAAAACGGATAGCACATTAAAAAGCATGCCAAGAAATTTAGTGTTGGAGTCTTAATGTAGTAATGTCTTTATTCCCAGGAGAAACAAGATTAGTTTTTGATGTTAGCAATGAATATTAGGCTAAATGCCGAAAACATTTTTAAGCACTGGGTTTACTATTTCCTGAAATTTTGTGATAAATTTAGTCTCAGTACGTCTTTTTTGGTGTGTGCATGCGGTTTTCTCTGTATCAGAAGTACGACTGTGAGGCGTGTTTTGTTCTGGATGCCTCTAGAAGTTTTGATCAGTAAGTATTTTGTTAAAGCTAAATAGAGTTGGTATTTTGTAGCATCCTCCAAAGTGACTCAGAATCACTCAGTTCCCATTTTCTTTTGACTTATTACAGTTAAAAATTCCTTTTTGTTTATGTCCATGAAGATGTCAAAACTTTCCAAGAGGGGATCTCTTCTTCATCTTGGAATATAATCACCAATTTTCAGTGGCTCTCTGTCTTACTCTATTTCAATACAACAGAAACATCCATGGATGAACTATCACATCTTGGATTTATTTTAAAATTTATTTTTATTAAGAGTAGTTATTAGAGAGAGGCTCAGTAGTTAAGAGCACTGGCTGCTCTTGCAGAGGACCCAGGTTCAGTTCCTAGCATCCACATGGTGGCTAAAAATTGTCTGTAACTCCAGTTCCAGGGGATCTGATGCCATCTTGTGACCTCCATGAGTGTTGCTTGTCACAGGTGCACTTACATACATGCAGACAATATACTCATAAAATAAAATAAAAAAATTAACACTATGGGGCTGGTGAGATGGCTCACTGGTTAAGAGCAAAACACTCCCACTCACAAAATATAATAAATAAACATTAAGAGTAAAAGAAATGAACTTTAAAGTCCAGAGTTTATTTACTACTAATTCATCAATACTAGCTTCTTAGTTTCAACAAACATATCATAGTTTTGTAAGGCATTGATATCATAGGGAATCATTTGAAAGGTATTTAGGAACTCTGAACCGTCTTTGCAACTTTTGCTATAAACCTGAAACTACTCTGAATTGCAGAGTTTATTAAAATAAAGGAAAGATGGAGACAAAGGGAAGCAGGGAGAAAGGATACCGTGAAGTGCTGGAAATGGTTGAGGGTTGCATGCCCTTGTCTTAGGTGAACAACGCCTTGCACATCTCTCTGCTCTGTGATTCTGGGGTCTGAGCAGGGGCCAAACATTAGCTCCTCCAGTCTGTGCCATCCTAAGGATTGCCCACTTCCTTAGAGGAAACGGCTTGATAATGTTTCTTGACCATTGATGCTAATTTTTATTTTTTTAGCGTGAGCATGAGTGTGTGTATGTGTGTGTGTATATGCATGTGTGTAAAGTGTATGTGTGTGATGTATGTACATGTGTATACCTGTGTGTGCCTGTGCATGAATGTACAGAAGCTAGAGGAGGTTGTTACGTGTCCTGCTCTGTCACTCTCTACCTTGTCCTTTGAGACAGGTTGCTTGCTGAGCCTATAGTTAGGCTGCTGGCCAGTGAGCCCCGCTGAACTGAATTTCCTGTCTTTGTCCCACACAGCGCGGGGAACACAAGCATGAGTGGCAGCACCTGGCTTTTTATGGGGGTGTTGGGATCCAATCTGAGGTCCTTTGATTGCACAACAAGCACTCTTGAACCTACTGTCATCTCTCCAGCCCCGATCCAGTTTTTAAGTAGCTTTCCACTACTGGTTTACCATGGCTGTAATTCAGAATAAATTATCAGTATGCAAAATGAAAAGGCTAGGTTATTAAAATCTTGACATTCTATTGAGTCTGGTCCTCTTCTTTATTAGAAAGAGCAAATCTAGCCTGTTGTGTATATGAAAGGAATATAAGAATATGCTTAAAAAGTTTGGTCTTTTGCTAACTGTTCTGTGGCCTTGTGACTGTGGAGATGAAGGGAGAGAATGCAAGGAGGCTTGAGCAACTGTTCAGAAATACAGTTCTGTATACACAGGTACATGGTGAATACTCTGATCTGTCCACCAAGAAAATGTGCTGTTTAGGCCGCCAAGGAGCACAGATGCTATCGTGTAAACCTTCTACCAGCCTGTAACCTGGGAAAGTCATTTACACTGTACCATGTCTTACTGATGAGAGAGACTCCCTGTCAGTTTTTACTAGCTGGTTAGACTTTTCTAGAACTCACTGTGTTACAGCTTTTAAAATAGACATTTTGTGCTTTTTCATTTTAGTTATTCACTCAGATTCAGAGTATATGTTTGTGAAATTACAGATAGGTGTTTCAAGCTTCAGAAACAAATTCTTCAAGTACAGAAATAACTTTGGAATCAAATTTGTGTTCTTGCGTTCCAGGAACTATATAGTGCTTCTGCCCCATCTCCTGAGTGCTAGCATTCTAGGCATGTGCCGCCACATCCAGCCAGGAGCACGGCTTCATAATCAGTGCAGCTATTGCAGTGTTATTTATTTGTATGTATTAGTGCTTGCATTGTATATGTGCGAACCATGTGCATGCCTGGTGCCTGTGGAATCCAGAGAAGGGCCTGCATCTCCCCGGAGCTGGAGTTACAGGCAGTTATGAGCTGTCTGATGTGGGTTCTGGGACCTAAACCCGGGTCTTCTGCAAGAACAGCAAGCGCTCTTAACCGTTTAGTCCTCTTTCCAGCCTATTACTGATGATTTGATGTGGATTTTTATAATATTAACAGTACATACAGAAGCCCCACTTTTGGTGGTGCGTAACTGCAATCTTAGCACTTGAGTAGAGATGAGGAGTTTAAGACCATCCTTGGCTAGATAGTGAGTTCAAAACTGGGCTGTATAAGATCCTGTCTCAAAAAACTAAGCCAAATCAAAACTTCACAAAATCTCACACATGCTTAACAGTACTTTTCCAGTCTTTCAGGTAAGTCCCTCATTTAATGCCATGCATCAAAGTCTCTGCGTATACTGGCAGTGGAGAGGACCTGGTCAGAGCTGGACTGATTTGTAGTTGAGACTGAGTCCATGTGGGTTAGCCTGGTTTCTGGACTTGACAGGGGCCGTGACCTGGCGTGGACTGTGTTCCTAGCATGACCCTGCTCTGTTAGTCAGTGTCCCTGTTTTAAGACTATTTGGAAGATGGAGAGATGGCTCAGTGGTTAATAGTATGTACTGTTCTTCTAGAGATCCCAACTTCAATTCCCAGAAACCACTTTGGATAGCTCACAGCCATCTGTAACTCCAGCATCTGGGGGACCTGAGAACTCTGGCTTCCGAGGGCACCTGTACTCACACACGCATGTACACATATGCACACTTACATAAATAATTTTAAAAAATATTTAAAGAAATTTAAAGACTATTTGGTTTGTATTATTTTTCTATACCTTTGATATGAGTTTCTAGTTCCAAAACAGTTTCAATAGTTAATAAAATTCACCACCTCCCTTACATTGTTAAAGGGACCAGGAGTTTCATATAATGGTAAAACAAAAGCCATAAAGCACTAGATCTGTCATTACTGGCAGTAAGAAGCCTTTATAACCTACAGGTCAACTTTAAGTATATATAAAACATGCAAACCCCTCTTAAAATTTATTCATTAATTTGTTACTTAGAGACAAGATCTCATTTTATAGACCAGCTAGATTCGAACTCATGGTGATCCTTCTGCCTTAGTCTCCTGGGTGCTGAAATTAACAGGTATGAGCCACTGTTCTTGTCATTGTAAGCCTTTTCATAAATGAAAGTTGTTAGCTATTATGCTACAAAAAATTGGATGTTAAAACCTGGAACAACAAATAGAGTGTTCACTACCCTTCAGTGTGGTAGGGTAAAAATGAGACATATTTGGTTTGATGTAAGTTTTAATTTTTTTTTTCGGTCTTTTTGAGACAGGGTCTCCCTGTAGCCCCACCTGTCCTGGAACTCACTATGTAGGCCAGGCTGGCCTTGAACTCACAGAGATCTGCCTGCCTCTGACTCCCAAGTGCTCAGATTAAAGGCGTGCGCCACCACGCCCGGCGTAAGTTTTAATTTTTTAAAATGATCAAAGCCCTTTAAAGTTGTGTTAATGACATCCTTCTTGGCAACTTAGATTCAGATTATTTTGCATATTTTCCTCAAGAAGACAGTTGCAGGCATTGAAATGAATCTCTGCATCTGTATCATGGCTCTCATGTTGATTTGAAGGGTAGGTCAGTTCGGCTGTGGTTCAAGAAGACTTTTTAGTTTTCCTGTACAAATATTTGAGTTAAGGAATATCAGACCATAAGAGAGTGCAGGATTGCCTTTATTGAAAAATGAACTTTGTACATGAATTAGTTTGGTTACTGTTGTTTTTTGGTTTATTTTTGCTTTTGAGAATTATGACTAACCTTACGGTATAGAGAGGGAAGATGGGGTAAGATGAAAAAATTCTATATTTTCCACACCATTTCCACACCTTGTTTTTCCTTTCTGAGTCTTAGTCTCCTTAGATGAGGCAAAAGTCTCAGAGACCTTCAAGCGGAATGCTTTTGAGAGATGATAGTACAGGATTGGGTCAAAACACAGATTTGATACAGCCAGGAGTAGTGTGGCCTCTTTGGCTTTGAAGAGTGAGATTCTGGTTGGGCAGTCAGATATGACTTCAGTCTGGCTCAGGGTGTAAGGGATCCGTACAGCGTGGTAAGGAACAAAACATATGATGTAACCAGTTGTCACTAAAAGTATGTTGACAAGAGCCCTTTTCACATTTGGGTAGTTTTCATTGTCTTTGTTTCTGTAGAGTTGTCTGATTGCAAGGAAGTTGGATATTAAAATGATGGCCGAGAAATTTAAAAATATTGCCACACATAGGAAATTTGTCAGCAAATGCCAGTTTCTTCCAAACTCTTTTTTAAATTCCATGCAACCTACGCTTGCCTTTTCCTCAATGTCCTCGATGGGAATCAGCATGTTCGGCACCATTATAAGAAGGACCATGAGCCACACCACAGTTGATATCATTTTGGCAAACCCGGGTTCTTGTATTCGGTAAATCTTGGAACTGTGTATCAACTGAAGACAGCGATCAATACTGACAAACGCCAAGAAGATAATTGACAGGTACATATTGATGTAGATGAGGCAGGCTGTTACTTGGCAGTGGAATATCCTCAGCTTCCAGGGTGCCACGCCCAAGTCTACAATGATTTTCACTGGCAGTGCCAAAGTGAGCAGGAAATCGGCTGTAAGCAAATTGATTAGGTATATGCTCACACACCGGGGATTTGTGGTTTTCTGCAGAAAGGCCCAGGTTGCAAAACAACTTCCAATAATTCCAACAAGGAAAACTAAATAAAAGAAGTAGGTGAATGGTTCCAGATCTCTGTAAACTGGACAGAACAGTGAACTGTTTGTCATCTTGAGGGAAAAGAAGGAAGAGTTCAATAATTTAAAAAAGGAAGTCCAAAGAATCTGTTAAAAAGAGAAGGAGGGAGATGTTAGTAATTAAAATTAGAAACAGCCTTCCTTACAAACATCTGTACTGAGGATATCATCATCATCTTAGTTCTTAGGAAGAATTTCATTGGTGAACTTAGCGGACTGTGTGGGAGCACCCTGAAGTATGAGAAGCCCTGGGTTTCCATTGTCTGATTTCAGGAAATCTTAGGTAGATTCGCTCTTTGGAAGCGATGTTTTTGACTTCATGGTTTTACATTGCGGTAGCTCTTTGGTGACAGCTGAGTGAGAAGTTTCTTTGCAGAGGAGGTTAAGTGGCCAAAAATTCTGAGAAGTACAGAGGGGAAGCTGGTGTTGTGGTGTTGCCTGAAGAGATCTCAGTGAGGCTTTCTGGTTTGCGAGCTCATGTTGGAAGAACCTAGGCTGACGAGAGGAAAGGATGACAGCTAGTTCAGTCAGATTTTCAAAGTGTTGTTTATAAAGTAGGCTCTCCAGTGTGAACCCTGCTAGACTGTTTTTAGAAGTACAATTTTTGTCTCTTTTTGTTTTCAGCAGACAGAATGGAACGGTGGGAATTTGGTGCCTCTCACTGGGTTGGTTTCACAGTGCTGTGGACGTGTTGGTAAACACTTTAACCATTTTCAATGATGAACACATTAAAGATTTTCTTTTTTTAATATTTTATTATTTTTATTTTATGTGTATGAGTGTACTGCGTGCATGTATGTGAGTGCACTCATGTCATGCGATGCCACAGAGGTCAGGTTCTGGGAGTCAAACCCAGGTCCTCTGCAAGAGCAGTCAGTGCTCTTAACCGCTGAGCCATTTCTCCAGCCCCTAAAGATTTTCTTTACTGTCATATTCACATTTTATATTGAGCACCTATGTAACATTTTTATTAAGCTCAATATATTAATGAAATTACTTTCTTGTATTTTATTTAATTTTAATTTTATGTGTATGAGTGCTTTGCCTGCATGTATGTAAGTGTAAGTGTATTGCATGTGTGTAATACCCACAGAGACTAGAAGAGGGCATTAGATCCCCTGGAACTGGAATTATGGGCAGTTGTTAGCTTCTGTGTGGGTGTTGGGAACCAAACCTGGGTCCTCTGCAAGAACAGCCTGTCCTTTAAACTGCAGGGCCACATTTCCTCTTGGGTTTCTTTTTACTTTTTAAATGCACGTACTAGAAAAGCTTCAACTTAAAAAAATCCTATTTATTATTTTTATTTTATGTGTATGAGTGTATTGTCTGCATGTATGTGAGTGCACCCGTGTTGTGCGGTGCCACAGAGGTCAGAAGAGTGCGTCAGATTCCCCTGGAACTGGAGTTAAGGACGGTTCATAGCTGCCATGTGGGTGCTGGGAATTGAACCCGGGTCCTCTGCAAGAGCAGTCAGCTCTTAACCACTGCGCCATCTCTCCAGCCCCAAGCTTCAACTTTTTAAAAGTTTGATTGTATTGCTGTTGGACAGTATGTGTATAGATGTTTTAGTTGACGTGTTTTTGAGTAGTTTTATAAAAAGTGTATTTTTAAAGGTTCTAGTACATGGGTATATATTTATTGGTTACAACATCCTCCGAGAAAAGCTAAGTTATATCAGTATCAAAATGGAACTTTACTGGACCTGGTGGCACTCCCCTGAAGTCCTATCATTCAGGAGGTAGAGAAAGGAGGAACACAAGCTCAAGGTCATCCTTAGCTACAAGGCTATAAGACAAGGCTAGCATGGGATACATGAGGCCCTATCTCAATCTCAAAAAAAAAAAAACCAAAAAACCAGAAATCCAACTTTAACATTAGGTGTTTTTTTTCCCTTTAACTGTGAGTTTTGCTGTAGTCAAAAGTCCACAAGATAGTCTCTTGGAACCACCATAATTGACATTAATAACCTTGTCATGTTCCCCCCAGACAGAGAACACTGGCTTGATTTATGGGTTCAAGTTAAACTGAGCTTTCATTGACAAAGTCAAGTCTGACTCCCAGGTTTAGAGCCTCTTGGTGTGGGCTATCTATTGCATTAAACAACTTTCTTTTGTTTTAAAGTCTAGCGATTGCCTTTATATTTCATCAAGAAAAATTCATATATAGTGCTACAGGACGTTGGATATGTAATGACTGGCAAAGAAGGGCTCAGAAGCCATCAAATCTTGCTTTAAATTAGGCAACTTCAGAAGTCTTATTAAACCTAATTTTTCAAATTATTCAATAATGCATTGTATATCTTTAAAAATTATTTATATTATTATTTATTATCGTTATTATTTGTGTGTGTGTGTGTGCGTGTGTGTGTGTGTGTGATGCATGACTGCTGGTGTGTATGCCATGTACGCGATACTTTTCTGGAGGGACGTTGACTTCATTGAGTTGACTCTCTCCTTCTACCATTCCATGGATTCTGGGTACGAAACTCAGGTCTACTCAGGCAACTTTACCTGCTGAGCCATCTGGTGCCATGGTGTGTAATCATTGAATGAATCAATGTATGTAAGCAAGTACATCAAACTTTTTAAAGTTACTTAAAGGTTGCATACCCTTCCCTTTCTCCCATTAGAGTTAGGGCTTTTAAAAAAAATATTTTTGAGACTGGGTCTTCCTATAGCCCCACCTGGCCCGAACTTGCTGTATAGACCAGGCTGGCCTTGAACTCACAGAGATCCATCTGCCTCAGCCTCCCGAGAGTGGGACTAAAGGCATGCACCACCACGCCCAGCAAGTTAGAGCTTTTTATTCTGAGGCATAATAAGGTTAAGTCCCTGGGCTGTGTAGTTGACAGATTACAAAGCCAGGATCTCAGTATAGTCACACCTCAGAAGCCCCAGTAATGGTGGTGATGATTCTAATGCTAATGCTTATTATTAATGGTGTAGCGTTTGTTCCCTATCTGGGGGTTATGTGACAGGGATGTTCTTAGCAATTTTCACATAAAACAGCTGAAATAAAATATTTACTTTTACCATTTTCCCTTCGTACTGTTACAGTAAAAGAAGTTTAGGCATTTCGTGTGTTTTGCTGTTTTGTCTTATTATATATATTTAAAACTAAATCTCAGTCTTAGTCTATAAATTTAGATTTAACTTTCAGAGTTCTCAGAACATACATTCTCCCTCCTATTCCCATTGTCATCTATCTCTCTGTCTTTGTTTTGCATGCTGGATTGAACCCATGGCTTTGTATATACCGAACATGTGATCTACCACTAAGCTACAGCTCCCCCTCCCTCAGTCTCAGGTCTCATTTTAGAGTGGTCATATCTACACTCTGTGAACAACTCCTTCCCATCTCTGTATTTTAGCAGGGATAGAATTTTAGAACTGTTCTACTTTAAAGAGAGATGACTCTCTATTGATAGCTTCTGTCCAAGTCCTCAGATCGGTGGAGGAGGCTGAGGTCTGGCCCTTGCACGTTGCTCAAGGTGCTGCAGTGTATTTGAGCAAGACCAGGGTCTGTGCTTGCTGATTGGTCTCTAGGCTCTCTGCCTTTATCCTGATGTTTCTTGATTCCTGCCTGTCGCCTACAGGCCTGAAGGAAGCTTTTCAAGTTAGAATGCTATTCCAGGCTTCTCTCCTCACAACCCTGGTTTTTGATAGTTGCCATTCATTTGTATCTTGGAATTCTGAGACCAATTTTATTTCCCATGCTTGCCTGTTGTTTATGTGTAGAGTGCTATGATTTGATTTCAACTCCTTTATTTCAAGTGTTATATAGTGATAGCAGGATAATAATGTATTTCTTCAAGTGCCTCATTGCTTATATAATTATACATTTTATCAGTAATACTTATATGGTGAAGAGAAGTATTAGTTTGTTTTGATTGATAAATACTCTGTAATTAGAATTGACAATATATTATAGTAGGCAGGAACTGATTTCAAATAATTACAATGTGACTGCTTATTTAGTAATGCTTGAGAGTCCTGAGTGCTTTGCATTCACTTTTATAAAATTCCTTCTAGATTTTCATGGAGAATGGTTTATTAAAAACTGTGTATGTTGAGTAGAGTTAAAATTGTACTATGATCACATCTCATGTTCCCTATCACAAATTTTCTATTTAAGAGCTTGATAAATATTTTGCCAACCAGTTAGCAGCCAGTGGAGATTAGATATACTCAGAGGTACTCCAGCAAACTTAAAGTATTTTAAGTGTCTCCTTAGTTCCCATAGATTGGGGGGAAAAAAACTCATTAGGTTTTCTGAGGGAATCGTGAATATTTTTTTGAAATTGACTATTGTAGTACTTATGAAAGAAACTCCTTCTAGGACCTCATGCAGCTAGCCAGTATCTATCTTGCTGTGAAACTGAGTTACCTAAGTTAGCTATGTAATTACTCCAGCTTGGATGTAGTTGTCTTTTTTAGACAGATGGATAAGACTAAAAGAGAGCATAAAATTACAGAATATTCACAGCTAAGATCTCGTCATTTTTGTCCTGTTAGCCACCAGCTTTGTGACTGTTGGCTTTCTACTTAAAAGCTGAGAAGTCATAAGCTTGTCGTGTGTGGAAAAGCACTGAGTAGCCAAACATTGAAAAGGACATACCTGAGAGTCCTCTCTGGCCTGAGCAGGGTCCAGGTCTTAGAGAAGCAGGAGCTGTTTGCCTAGCTGCAGAGACAGCAGCCCCATTGCAGGCTTGCCGGCTGAACTAAGAATTTCCTTTCCTTTTTATGTGGTTTAAAAATGTTACAGACTGACGTAGATGAAACTGTGGTTTGCAAATAGTTTAAACTGTATGAAAGTCTCCTGAGGAAGCTTTGTAAGAAAACAATTTTGTGTAACTCAATTTGTAACTATTTGTTTTTAGAGAAAAGTTCGCTCATTCATTAAAGCACCTTGCCCCTTTTTTCTCTTTTCCTTTTTTTCTCTTTTTCTTTTTTTAAAAAAGTATCCAAGATATCTTCTGTGTCATAATAGTTTCCAAAGAATGTCAGCGTTAAAGCCCTCTATCAGTTCTTGTTAATGACAATAAGGTACTTAAATACTTCTTTAGCTATTGACATCAGCATTTTAAAGGTACACATATTGTTGCAGTTTAATTCCTGCTAAGATAGCTGTTAATTAAAAATTAAAAAAAACTATTATGGAGAATGGTGGCACTTGGGAGGCACTTGGGAAGAAGGATGATAGCCATGAATTTGAGGCCAACCTGGGCTCTATGGTGAGTTCAAGGTCAGTCTAGACTATGGAAAGAGACCCTGTCTCACAAAGCAAACACTGGAACAAAATGATTTAACTGAGTCTGGTAGGGTAATCCCCCGCCCCCACACTTTTTTTAGCCAACTGTAAATTCTTCTTGCTTGCTTGCTTATTGTGTGTGTATGTATTTGGGCACATGCTTGGTATGGTGTGTGTGTAGAGGTCAGAGGACAAGTTGTAAAACTTGACTTTTTCCTCCTGTCATATGGGTTCTGGGGATTAAACCCAAGTTGTGAGTCTTGGTGGCAAGCATCTTTAACCTATGAAACACTCTCACTGTCCCATTGCAGAAAAATCTTAAATATAAATAAAAGAACATTATATAGATAAATACATCAAAATTTTGTTTCGTGTATTTAATTTTGTCTGCGCTTACATACGCCACTTAAAAGTGTTATTGTACATATGGCTTTAGAGTTTGAAATTCAAAAATATATTATATCTAGGCCAAGGAGATGACCCGGCAGATTAAGGTGCTTCTCCTGCAAGTGCAGCAACCTGGGTTCAATCCCTAGAAGCCGTATAAAAGTGGAAGGAGAGAACTGGCTCTTCAGAGCTGCCTCTTACTTCTTCCCACGTGCATCATGGTGCCTGAGCGTGTCTCTGTCTCTCTGTCTCTCTCTGTCTGACTCTCTCTCTCTCTCCTTCTCTCTCTCACACATACACAATAATAATAACAAATTTGAAAAAAATATATTTCACATGCTTTTTCAAGTTATGAGGTTAAACCTCTACCATTTCTCAGTTTGATCCAAACAGCATAGTGAATTGAGGCAGGTATTTAGTGGTTTATATGTTATATTGCCTGGTTAAATGTTCTCCTGCCTACAGTGAGAAGATGCTAACTGGGTGCCAGAAAGGCCTTGGGTGGGAGCACTGCCTGACCACTTCCTGAGTCTGAAGAGCAGTGTTACTACCTTAGTGATTGTCTTTATTATTTTTTTCATAAGGTTATCTCTTTTTTTGTTTGTTTTTTTTTTACACCTTTTCTTCTTGTATGGCTGTAGACTAGACCCAAGACCTTAAGTGTGACGGGCAAAATGAGGCTAGTTTTTATGACCTGAACATGCTCGGGGAGTGGTGAATGTGCTGGGGCAAACTTGGTTTGTAAGTGCCAAGCTAAGACCTGGGTGCTGGTCTGTTTATTTATGCTTCACTGCCTTGGCTGGTGCTTCGATTTCTCCTCTTTATCTCCTGATGATTCTTTGTCAGTTTTTCAGATGAGAAGAAACAAGTCACAAGAGAGCTGTTTAAATCCCAAAACAAACCTCTTATTGCCTTGTTGCTAGCTTAATAACAGAAATTAACAAACACGCATCCCTTAGGACTGACCAAATGAAAAATGTCCAGCTAGATGGAACTTAGAATGTATCACATGAATTTTGAAAAAAAACCAGAGCTGTTTATGATGATAATAGCCATTTGTTTTACATTCCTTGTTCTCCTTTTTTTTACATTTTGTATTTGATATTTGGATCAGAAGCCATCCTAACTTTGATCTTTATCTTGGAGCAAGTGGTCTATCCTTAAGACTCCTGTTCTGTGGTAGAGAGGACTCAACAAGGGCCACTTAGAGGAAAGACATCTGCAAAAACAAGATGAGGCTGTAGATAGGGCTTAGGTTCACTGGGAGTAAGCCTGGGATGGAGGGGCAGTTAGAGGTGGAATTGGCTACAGATTGAGTGCTGAATAGTTTTAGTGAAGCATGAGAGAAAAGTGAGACAAAGATTTCTGGTAAAGTTTTTATTTTATTTTATTTATTTTATATTTTATTTTAGGTAGGTGTTTTTATGTTTACTTCCTTGGTTTACTTTAGGCTTTATAGACAATAGAAAAATACGAGCAGCCGTTCTTAAAAATCTAAGATCACAGTTGTGTTTGAATTGCTAAACTCTAGAAAGCTAAAGTGTCCTCCTCCTTAGTGAGAAATTTCATACATGGAATAGTACCAACTAATCAGTTTATTTATGTTTTCTTGAGATAGAATCTTGTCAGATTCCCTTGGTGGCCTCAAACTCACAGGGATGCTCCTGCCTCTGCTTCTTGAGTGCTAAGATTATAGGTGTGCATTGCTGTGTCTGAGATGAGCTACTTTTCAATAGTAAAACCAAATTGTATTTTTCTTTTTTTTTTTTTGGTTTTGTTTTGTGACAAGGTTTCACTATGTAGCCCAGGATGGCTTTAAACTCCAGATGCCCCTGCCTTGACATGCCAAGTTCTGGAATTACAGGCCACTTCTGATAGTGAGATTTGGCATCTGTGCTTTGTGTGAAAGTTTATTCACAGTGGAAATATATATTTTTCCTCTGCTTCCCTTAGTACTATTTTTTAAACACAGGTTTCTTTTGAGTTAATAGATGGACCTTCTTTCTGTCTCATTAAGGACAGTTTTCCAGACTGTATTTTGTTAGTGTTCCAGGAAATTGCATGTCATCACTAACCCACTATTTCAGAAACCCAGGTGGGAAAAAGTGAGGTCAAGGTATTTTTCCCTTACTTTGGTCATGGTGATACTTTTACTTAAGAAATGATATTTTAGTTGCTTTTATGTATATTTTGTATGTGTAAAATGCTAATTTGACTAACAAGTTGATTTGGGATATGAAATATTTCTGTAGTCTAGTCTGTATATCTGTGTGCATCATTCTTTTAATTTTACTGAAACCAGTTACCAGATAATACTGCCTAACATTCTTAAAATGTGACTTTCAAACATAGTTCAGAAGCTGTTTGGAGTTAATGGGGAAGAAGAAATGGACTACTGGGTGTAGGTAGCCACTACCATAGCTAGGCATGTGTCTGAGAACCTCCCTCCTCCTCCCTCCCTCCCTCCTCCCCTCCCCTCCTTCCTTGTGTATTGCCTGAATGTAGGTAAGTGCACCTGTGTTCCCTCCCCTTCTCCTGCTTTTTCTCTCTTCATTTCCAAGGCTGGGGTTGACAGTAGACCTTTGACTGTTGAAGATTCCCACCAACACTGGTTACTACATAGATTCATTTTGTAAAGGGTCCTAGGTTATTGATGAGGGCAGAGAACTTACCCCAATATTGGAAAGAAAATTAGCATTTTTATCTGTCATGTTGTGTTACGTGAGGAACCTTGATGACCGTAGTCATTTGAATGAGGCTTTTTTCATAGAGGACTGGGCAACATCAACATCAGCCTTCAAGGGGGGCCCTCATTGGAGCTGGGGACCCATTGTTCATTTGGAAGATAGGACATTGTCCCTTACAGTGATTTCCCTCTTCATAAAAGGGCAAAACCCTGCTTCTAAAATCTAAGCCTGCTGAGGGTATTTCTTTTTTTTCCGGTACCCTGGTTCCCTGAATTGTGACTAGCATTGCTGCTTGAAAATCTCTTCAGCCTGGGGTTTCTCTGAGACAGGAGGTTGTTAGCTATATGGGAAATATAGTCTTCCTGGGGTTAAGATTATTATTATTATTATTATTATTATTATTATTATTATTATTGAGACAGGTTCTCCCTGTAGCTTCAGCTGGCCTGAAACTTGCTATGTAGACCAGGCTGGTCTGGATCTCAGCGATCTTACTTCAGTGCTGTGATTAAAGGCCTGTGCTACCCATCCAGTGTCCTAGGTTAAGGTTATTAACTGGGCTTGGCTGTGTTTATAATCCTTTCCCTTTTCCCTTTTGTACTGTCTCTGTCTTATTTCTGTTGCAGAGAACCCTGAAATCCAAATTTAAAAGTTAACTTGGAGTGTGTGGGTGCCCCTGCTCACTTTTACAGTTTCTGCCTCGTGTCTGGAGCAAGTTAACTGGGGAAATAAGCATCTAGCAGTATCTGACCTCAGGAAAAACTCTAACTACAGAAAACTTAATCATATAACTGTCATCATTATGTTTTATCCCTCATAAGTGCTCTTTGACTCCTTGGACCTTCTGTAGCAAGAAGCTTACACTTTCTGGTTTTGCTGTACTTTATATTTCCATTTTGAAAGATTCTTTACAATAAAACTACCATCTAAAATCCTTTTTCTGAAAGCATTTTTTTGTTAACCTTCTTTACCAGAAATATATTTTGTAGCAGTGTGTCAGTACCTCAAAGACAGACTTGGAGGTTCCAGACTGTTCTGTTTGCTTTCTCAACCATGCCACATTGATTAATTTTTCCCTCTGTCCTCTACCATTACTGTTTCCTTAATTTACATATTGAGACTAGTGGCCAAGCTTAACCTATGGGGGCTATCGGAGCCAGGACTCTGTTTTAAAATTCCAATTACATTAGAAAGTAAAAGGAATTTGGGCTAATTTAATAATCTTAGTTTATGTGACCACTTGTTAGCTAAGTTGATGCCATGTAAACAATGTAAGCACATGTAGTCAATAATACACATTTTATAGCCCATATCTAGATTTGTCATTTGTGTGTGTGTGTGTGTGTGTGTGTGAGAGAGAGAGAGAGAGAGAGAGAGAGAGAGAGAGAGAGAGAGAACTGATTTATAGGCACACCACGCAGAAGGCAGTGTTAGCATCAAGTGTCTTGTATCACTTTCTACCATTTTACTTTTAGGCCTGCCTGGTCTCTCCCTGAACCTGGAGCCAAGACTGGCCTTAAATTCCTGATTGCCCTGCCTCTCCCTTCTAAGAGCTGGGATTACAGCATCTACCACAATGCTGTTTAGGAAAGCTGTGCTTTTAAGATGGTTTTTTTTTGCAAGGATTTCCTGTGATGAAATGTAAGCCACATGCCATTGGATTCTTGCAGAAAGTAGGTAACCTAAAGGAAGTAGTGATTTTTTTTAAATTAAAGATCACACAGTACCTCAAAGACCGTCCCAGAACTGCTCACCTCAAAGATATGCCTTGCTGTTTTGTGGGGGATAATAGTTTATAATTTCTCTATTACCCTTTGATGTTGCAGGTATGTTATGGTTTATAAATGCTCACTTTCCTTCTCCCCCGAATTAGAAAGATCAGGTGGTACCTGCGGGATTAAGGACAGAATCTAGAGCTAGTGGTCTATACTTTCCAACATCAAGTAGAAGCAAGGCTTGGTGTGAGGATATTCCTAGTGTTTCTGGATGGCTGTTTTAGATGAAGGTATGTAACAACACCTTTTCATGTACTGGTGACCCCCACCCCTCACAAAGTCCTACTTAAACTTCTGCAACAAGTTTATTGGTTGACATAACTTGACCTTCCAAAGTTGTGGGTGTGGTTTTAGGTGAGGGTTGACACAAGTACTCAAATGTGAAACCAGGACTAGCTTTGAACTATTTCTAGTCTGCCTTCTGTGGTGTGAGCATCAGTTCCTAGGAAGTGTTGCACATCTAGAGTCTACATCTTTTCAGTCACCCCTTCATTTCAGAAAATTTCCTGAGGATGAATGTGGGGTTTGGTCTCATTGAGTCAGTTTGGATCTTGCTCTATCCCGACTTGTAGTCAGTGCCTTCAGATGTGGCAATTAATTACCTAGTGCTAATTCTCTCTGCTAGCTGTATGGTTCAGAACATAGAGAGTGACGTTCTCAAATGAAAAGCTTTACTTTTATTGCTGAAAAAAGAAGATGGAGGCTGGGGCGGTAACGTGACGGGAGTGCTGCTCGTGATGTTTCTGTGAGACATTAGGGTCACTTCCCTTGGTGGGCAATGTTTAGTCATTTTAAATGATTGTAATCTTCTGTGATCTGTTTCTTGATTCTTCTTGTCACAAGTACTCCTGCTATGAAAACACTTTAGAACATTTTTGCCCAGGTACTTAAATCAGTTACGTATCAAAATGAGCCTTCATTCAAGTGAAGCAGTCAGAAAGGTTCCAATAAAGGGAGGATCCTTGGAGCACCTTTCCAATAGATTCTTGCATTTTAGAAGTTTCAGAGTAGCTGCTAGCATATTATATTCTATCCACAGATGTTTTCATTTAATTACTAGCCCAGCAATGCAAAAACCACATGATTTTACATTCTCTTGCAAAAATGAGGAAGCAGTTGACTGGAGCTAAGAGCTCTCAGCTCACCATCCTCCTCAGTTTCCCTGTGACTGTTTATTTTACATCACCTTCTCTGACACTGCAGGTATCTAATTGAGGTGCTCCACTCTGTACTGTAGTTTCATCTATAGAAGCACTAGTAAAGCGTCCCTGTGCCCTCTGCAGTGGTACTATGATCTCTGAAAAGTGTCTGGGTTAATTCTCCATAGCCAGTGCCCTGGCACTTTGTTTTGAGTTGTTGCTGTGCACCTAGTAATAGTTATAGCACACAGAAATTGCTGCTCAGCTGTGGTTTCCAAACTCACCTGCCTCACACGTCATTTCCTGAAACACCTCGCTTTAACATTACTAGTCTGTTTTAGCACAATGCTTGAGGGAAAGCGACTTTCTCAAGGAAAAGTTTCACTTGTACTGTTGGGAAGAGGAGGGAGGGTGGAAAGATGACCCAGGTCACTCAAGCCGTGCTTGCTGCTGTTGTCAACCTGTTCTTACTTTCATTTGCTGTGGTGGCCCAGTGGAAGGCCTTGAAGAATCTCAGGCTTTGCTCATTTGCTCTGATCGTGAGACTTGTAAAGAATGATAAACACAGCCCCCCATCTGCCCCCCCAAGTGTATTAATCCAAACACATGCAGCAAGCTTAGTTGCCAAAGTCATTTGTCAGAGCTTAGTGATTTTTGTCTTTTTGAAGAGTTTCTTTGCTTCATCATTGGAGGCAGGAGGGAGCTGTAGGAAGGTGGACAATGAAGACGGAGCAGAGCACAGAAGCCTTCCTGTTCCAGGGTGGGGATGTTTCCCGAGTTTTGTCTAAACCCTGAATGGGTCATGGTGCATATGGGATACTTATTTTGGAAAGTCAGAAACATTCTCTCTGTAACTCTTCCTTGTGCTGAAGTATGTAACTGAGCATAAAGAGACCTGTGTTGGGCATGTTGATGACTAAGGGTGGGGGAAAAAAAAACCTGACAGTTCCGAAGACAGTTTCTTTATTGGTGTATGTATATATAAAGAATGAAATAGGAACATTACTTACAGAAGTGCTTAGGAAGAACATCTGAAAGATTGGCCGAATGTCCTCTAAGAAAGTCAGTTAAAAGCAGAGAAAGAATTTAGTTTCAGTGACTCCTAAGCCAGAAACCATATCCCGTTTCTCCATCCATTTGATTTCTTAAAAAATGTGATGTTGGGATCAATGTAACTCTTTAAGATTCCATGTGTACAGCTAAAGGCTGCAAAACAAGAAACAGTGCCAGGCAGGAGTTACCTTCCTTTGAGTTATTGGCCGGGGTGGCCCAAGAGACTCCCAGACAGTAACCCAGCATAGAACTGGGGAAATGAACAGCAGACCCCAATCTTATCTAAAGGAATATTGACAACTGCTTGCTGCTAGATGAGGAAGAGCTGATCTTCCTAAAACAAGGAACTCTAGATAGGCTGACTAGACTCAGCAGATGGACAAGCACTTGGGAATGGCTGGGGGCACTGACAACACAGTGGACAGTAACAGGGGTGACAGAGTATATGGGCTCCAGTGGGGGGGAAGAGGGGGCTATGGGAGGGGGCCATTTGGCATGTGGGTATAAAGATGGGTAAGATTGTTTGGGATGTTCTGTATGAAATACACACAAAAAATTAACAAATAAAATGAGTTATATTTGAGGAAGAAGCATAAAAATTTGCTTCATTTTAATTAGTAGAGGTGAAAAACATTACCATTGAACTCTACCTGATGACTTTATATCCATGCTCATGTGCCAAGGACCTCAGAAAGTAACCGACTGTGACTAGCAATAATCAGATATATGGAGATTAGAGACGCATGTGCAAACATCTAAGTGTTAGTTGCATTAAAAATGAGTTTTTCTGTATAAAACAGTATATTTTAAAATGAAATGGAGATCTTTTTTAAAGGTTAAAACCTCATTCTATTTTATGTCTTACAGGGCTTATACTAAGTATAACATTTTATAACGGTATTAATTCACCTGTGAACCTAAATATTTACAGCCAATTTTGAAAGAGAGTCATCTTTGCTCTGGAAATTGTTATTGAGTATGTTAATGCTGTTGTAATGAGATGCTTCTTCTAATCCTGTGGTTATTAAATTTTATTTTTTTTTTTGAGACAAGGTCTCCCCGTAGCTGCAGCTGGCCTGGATTCACTAATGGAGACCAGGCTGGCTTCGAACTCACAGAGATCCGCCTGCCTCTGCCTCCCGAGGGCTGGGGTTAAAGGTGTGCGCCACCATGCCTGGCCCTATTAAATAATTTTTAAAAAAGAAAATATAATAGTAATTTTTTTAAAAAGTGATGTTATGAAATGTCATTTTACGTGGAAACTTATATTTGAATTTTATTAATTTTTTTGTATTTCATACTTAATAGTGGATAATAATGCTAGATACATTACTCATCATAAGTATACTTTTTATTCATGTCTCTTAATATGTAACAGGATGCTGGCATGTGGACGAGAACGGTGCTTGGACAGGAAGGGGGATCACAGAGTGTCTGTGCTTTCATGAATTGATTTTTCCCTTTTGGTTCTGGAGTTTTCTTGGTCGTTCTGTGGTTTTAATGTGATGTGTAATTTCTTATCTAAAGCTTCTCTAAATGGCTGGCACAAGAAGAAATAAATGATGGGGTCCAGGCATATATTTGCAGCAGACAACAGCAGAGTGAATTCTTTCACATAGCGCAAGGTTTCTTTGGACTGGCAGCTGTAGTGACCTTCTGTCTGACTCTTTGTGTAGGGGATTCTGCCAATGTGGTAAGGTACAAAACACACAAAAAATACAAGCATGATGCTGAATATATTGCGGCTCGATTTCCTCTTGACTGAAATGGAATTCTTTCTGGACTTGAGGTGAGACTTAAAGATTTTCCTTGTGATAGCAGTGTAGAAGATAAGCAACAGAAGAAACACAATCCAGAACATGCTCACAAAGATATAGTTAGATGCTGTGTGCCACTTCCGTCCCAGCTCACTCTTCAGTTCCATGCATTCTATTTTTGTAACGTCCTTGACACTCTTGTTGGTGAGAATGATGTTGGGGACAGCAAGAAGAAGCATGAGCGCCCACACAACCACAGACAGAAGTTTGCTATAGTTCACTGACTGGATGAACGAAGTCAGAAGGGGCTTTACAATTTTATAATACCTGTCAAAGCTGATGAGTCCAAAGAACATGATGCTGACATACATATTGACGTAGAAGAGCACAGCAGAGACCCTGCACACAAACACTCGCAGCTGCCAGGGACCAAGGCCCGAGTCACTAAGGACCTTGAAAGGGAAGGTGAGGCCCATCAGAAAGTCAGCCACCACTATGTTCTTAAGATAGATGATAAAACTCTTAGAGCTGGGAACATAGAAGAATATCCATCCTGATACTCCATTGAGGAGGATTCCAGTGATGAAGACCAGGAAGTATAGCACAGGAATGACCTGCCGGGTGATGAGGGTGTTCTGGGAGCACAGCTGCTCCGGGGGCTCTGTGGCTGTTGAATTGGTCATCTCGTAAGTTCTGGAGCCCAAGGCCTGGATAGAGAAACAAAGTCACTGAAAGGATGCTTTACACTTGAAGGACACCTTATGACCTTCAAGTCACAGCATGCTGCAGCCCAGTATGTTTATTCTCCCTCTCCCTGATTTTTTTTAAAGTTTTTAGGTTCTTTTATTTTTTTTAATTATTTCTTTAATAACCGAATACTTAGAAGAAACATTTCATTACATCAGCATTGACATATTCAATAACAATTTTCTGAGCTAGGATGTATCTCTTACAAAAATGGCTGGTCCATTTTTAGGTTTACAGTTGAATTATTACCATTATACAATATTGTACTTATTATAAGCCCTATAAGCCATAAAATTAAATGAGGTTTTAACCTTTAAAAAAGATCTCCAATTCATTATTAAAATACAGAGTTTCATGCAGAAAACTTCATTTTTAATACAATTGACATTAAGATGTTTGCACATGCGTTTCTAAT